TTTTCCGCAAGCTGAACATGCCAAGCTCTGTGGTAATTAGTGTGCTCCAGCAGCTTCCTGCTTGAGAATGGAGGCGAGGGTGTTTTAACTAAAGCTCATTCCACAAACTTTAGACAAAAGAGGGTGTTTTAACTAAAGCTCATTCCACAAATTTTAGACAAAACCCCCCCACTGCCATTTTGAAGCACGGGGATGCTGATACACAAGATGTTGCTGTGCTTTAATTAAAGCGGCTCTCAGAGCCACCCTAATTAAAGTGCCCCACCCCCAGGGCACTTGTGCTCAAAAGACCCAAATAACCGAAGAGCTAAATGCACCTTTTTGTGTGTAGTCTCAGAGGACTGGAACATTGTGGTTGATCCAAACAAATATTCCCCACCCCCCTTATTTCTCAGTGCAATTGCAGGTCTTTTTGCAATATGTTTTAAATGCTCTCCCTCTGCTTGTGTGAACCACCCTCTCTGCCCAGTTTGCATGGGGACTGACACCCACAACTTCTGAATCAGAAAAGATGAGTTTCTGCATTCTGAGCTAAAAAAGCAGCTCTGTTAGTTCAGGAGCTGTAAACCCTTGTCTGTGATCTTACCTGTCATAGAAACTCATGCCCAAGTAGGCAGTTACTCACAGCTATATTCCTTGAAAGCAAAGGCCAGACCATCCTTGGCAGTGAGCTGATAGCAGTGAAGCAATAGGGATTTGCGTCAGCCCAGGAACCAGTTCCAGAAACAGGATTGGTAAAAAAACACAAATGTCTTCTAAGAATATGATACGGCTTTGGATTCCATGTAAAAGAACATCCATTTGTCTTTATGTCTGTGTGTTTCAGGGAACAGGAAAAAAATCCCAGAAACTGAAGATGAAGCAGACCTGTAGCTATATTCAGTTTTGTTGGGGGGGGGGTGCGCACGCGCGCGCGCGCGTGTGTGTGTGTGTGTGTAACATCACTTGTGGGTGCAAAGTTCATCCCCATCAGTGGATTGCTGACCTCCTGATGAGATCTAGGGATATCCTGGCAGTGGCAGAGTCCAGGAGCCAAGTTCCACAAAGCCTCTCTTGAGGTGACAGGCAGCTGGTTAGGGGTAGGCAGGTAGTGGCAGGAGGGGCTGTGGTGCAGGTCCTTTTAGGCAAACCCAGCAGGGAGGTCACAGGTAGAAGTTCTAGCAGGACCCTTGGGGCCTGTTCCTCCTGCTCCCAGGAGGAGTGCCCAGGTAGGTCTGTCCTGGATATCATTTTGTCAGGACCCAGGTGACCTCACTCCCCAGGTTTGGATCGCTGGGTACTGAGACTGCCAAAGCAAGTGTCGAGGCCACACTGCAGTCCTTGGGCTAAGGGGGGAAGCTGCTTTCCATTGCTTCAACAGGAGCAATGACATGTCTTTTGGCTTGTGAGATGAGATGCGAGTGCACCCTGCTTGCATGTCCACCATGTCTAGCATGGAGCAGAGCAGCATCTGTGCTGGTTTGAAGCCCAGCTTCGTAGCTCCAGCCACAGGGTCACATTTGAACTTGAACCCCTGCCCATGTGAATGCCAGTGGGCCTGGGGAATGAGCTAGGTATGTGGCCAACCCCCCTGCTGTAAAGTAATATAGATCTAATGACTCCAACAGGGCAATAGTTGATTTGAGCCAGCTGGGGATTTGGTGCAGGAGCATAAGTAAAATGCAGAACTGCTCATGTAACAGCTTGGGGTAGGGGAGGGGGGAAGCAATGCCTATGTTCAGGGAGGATCAGCTTGGCAGCTTCACATCATTTCCTCACAGTGGTTGAGACGGGGGCTGAAACTGGAGGTGTAACTAGCCCAACAGCTCCCTTGTACCAAATCCCTGCAGCGGGAAGGACTGTTCACTGCAGGAACTGTCTGGATGTTAACTACACTTAGAAAATCAGGTTTGGTCTCCAGGGCTAACATGCCTACTAGCTGCACTTGGGAAGGACAGGGATCACCTCGTAAATGAAGCCATGTGAAATTTTGGGTGTTTGTGTGTAAGGGATCTGGGATGGTGTGGGTGTTTGTGCACCCATACCATTTTCTTTCTAGGTTTCCTTGTGACTTTAATATTCCAGTGTATTTGCAGAGGGTTCCAGCTCCCTGGAAAACTTGTTACAGATCATGCTTAGCAACCTGTGAGAAAGCTGCACAACTTTAAAACAAGCTGTTGGACAGGTTTTTCAAAAACCTTTGGTGAAAAATGCAAACAGAAACTTAGAACAGAAAGAATGAGGGGCTTGTTTTTTAAATTAGTGGAAAACCTTTGATCCCCCCCCCCTTTTTTTTATGTAGAGACTCTTTTTCCACACAACAAACAAACCCAGACAAACAAAGCAGAATATGAAGAACTGAACATAGCAGCAGGGACTTTGCTACTAGGAAATGTTGGCAATCCAGGATGAGTTGTATTAGGAGATGTGCCCAAATGGGGGAAGGAAAAGTTGGTTCTTGAGTCTAAAAATCTTAAAGTTTTTAATGCAGTGCTTTTAGGTTAAGCCATAACCACTTTGGGCACTGTTTTAATATACAAATTATAATACACAGGTAGTTTTTTTAGCTTCTCCAAATGAAACCAGAACTGGAAAAGGGCCTTTATTCTGAGGTTTCCTCTGCAATGTCAGGGCAGGGCCACTAGAGGGGCTAAGAGAGAAGCTGTTGCTGTGTGATCCTTTACCTTGCCAGTTGAGGAGGTTGGCGGGTCCCGCTGGGGTAGGAAGGGCAGTGTTCATCCTCCATGCCCAGAGCTGAGACCAGCAGAGTTGAGATCCCATTCTACTTAGAATTAAAAAGAATCTCTCTCTGCTTGTGTTTGCCATCAGATGTCTTCAGCTTTGAGGAATGAGTTATTCAGGGGGTGGGAAAAGGGACAGGGGCTTTTCTTTGTAGGGGCATCAGCTCTGCTTCAGGGGCATCTGGCTGACTGGGGCAGCTGGGCAAGCTATGAGATGCAGGGCCTTTCCTTTCTAGGGGCTGCTGGACTCGCATCAGGAAGAGGCTGACTGGGGGTTGGGTGTAGACACAAAGCCTCCCCCCACCCTCCCTGTCCACAGTTGCTAGCTGCAGCCTGGCTCCGGGGCATGGGAACCAGGCATGATGTGGCTGGCTGTGTGCTGAGGCTGATGATCCAGGCTGTTTTTTCTCTGCCAGATCTGGTTCCCAAGCTCATCACAGAAGAGCACCAGCAAACCGATGAAGTCAGACTCCTTCCTCTGACTCATGCCTTCAGGTCTGCCGTACTGGCACAGCCCCATTTTGTCCTGAACCCCACCCCACAAAACCTCCTGCTCCTACCCACAGCCTCCCCATGTGTTACAGAGAGCTGTGGCAGAGCCCATCCCTGCCAGGCCCCTGTCCAAGGCTCTTTTCACATTGTACTACTATATGAGCCCCTGCCAAGCAATGCAATGTAAAAAGGGCATTGGGTAGGTGGTGCCCACCATGCCCACCCAATACTTCCACAACTCCAGGGGTGGGAAGGAGGCAGGAGGACAACCCCTCCCAGTATGGGGGTGGAAGGAATGCTGATGCCAGTGAGGGTTGTTCTCCTCATCAGGGTATCACCCCGTGCCAGCAGGGTGCTCATCTCTGTGCCAGCTGTAGTTCTCTTTGGCTTGGTCCTCAGTGTCCTTTAGCACAAGGGCTTAATGCTGCTTGCAGCCCCATCCCCCACACGCCCCCTCTACTCCTCACCCCTGATAGGATGCAAAGCTAAGGTGGGTGAAGCTGCCACATGGGAAGGACCCTGCTGAGCCATGGCAAACCCAGTGCCATCCAGCTGAGAGGAGCTGTAGCTGACCCACTGGTGCCTTCCAGTTGGGGTGGAGGAGAGTACTGTGGGTTCGTTTTCCCTTGGCATGGAGTGCCCCCAGTGGCCAACTACACACAGAATAAACAAGGCCAAGACTGCTGGAGGTGATAAGTGTTGGGGCAGCACAGGTAAGGGGGAAAAAGATGGAGCCTAAAGGGAGGGACATATGGACAGGAGTTGTGCGGGGGATGGGGGAGGCCTCTACCTCTCCCCCTCCCCCCAGCCACAAAGACAGTGTTTTATAAAAAATGCCTTTATTGATCATACAAAAACCTCGTGCGCTGGTGATGGAGCCAAGGCATTGCCCCTGCCCACCTCTCCCCAGCAGGGCATCAGTGGGCAAGGTGGGGGGAGGCAGTCCCCAAGATCAACAGGACATGGTAACCCACAGAGCAGACAAGGTAGAGTGCATGTAGCGCCTGGGGAGGGGAGAGACAGATGTGGGAAAAGTGGAATGGATGACACAGGGGATGGGGAAGGGCGGGGGACAGCCCTGATCTTTGTGAGTATCCCTGTTCTCTACTACCCTGAACCTACAGGCCAGGAAGACCAGCCCTGGCCTTCATGACATGCCCCTGCTCCCTCCCCCATATGCCAGGGGGACCAGCCCTGACCTTTGTAACATGCACCTGCTCCCTTTCCCCCTCCCATCCCCATACCATGGGGACCAGCCCTGACCCTCTCCACCAACCCCCATGCTTCATTCCACACCAAACCCCTTGCCATGGGGCTGTGGGTCAGCCTCTTACTTCCTGTACCAGGACTGAGGCCTGTTCAGGGCCTCACACCATTGCTACTAGTGCCCAGCCTCAGCTTTTTTGCCCCAGGCCAGAAGGGGACAGGGAGAGCACTGATCCTCTTGGTCTCCTTACCCACAGTCCCATGAGCAGGCCTGGGCAACTTTCTTCTCGTCATCATCCACCTGAGCCCTGTGCCAGGGCAGACCATCCTTGTGCTTTCCCTGCTCTCCTGCACCACAGGGCAGCCCCTGGTCAGCAGTGGGGGAAGATGCCCCACAGCCGGAAGGAGACTCGGACCCCATGCCCACATACAGAGTCAGGGGATGCCTCTGCCAGGCTCTGTGCTCCTTGGTGGGATCTGCACCTCAAGGTGCTTAGCAGGTGTTGCTGTCTGCAGGCTCTGAGCCCACAGGATTGCCACCTCAGGGCCAGCCTTCTAGTCTGTGCCCAGCTCTGATGCGGGGGGGGGGCGGGGAAAGGAATTCCTTGTGTGCTAGTCATGTTTTGCAAGCTCTCCCAGCTAGGGTGGATAGGTTGAGGATCCTGTGCCCCCCACTCCCTAAGGGCAATGCTTGTGCAGAGGGCAGGACCGCAAGGGTGTCGTGCTGGGATGGGTGGTGTGGCAGCGTGTATGGACAGGGCATGCTGCTGAGGGCATGGCTGCAGCCCACCCCCTCACTCCCAGCCATTGTCCTTCACCATGTGTGACATCTCGATGATGTACTTTCCCTCCTTGTACTTCTGGCTGGTCTCAAAGGCTTGTTCCTGGTAGAAAAGAAAGGGAAGAGTAAGCAGTCCAACTCCTCTCAGCTGTGTCACACTACCCACAGACCCTGCCCAGCAGGAGATGTTGTAATGCCAGAGGGATCAGAGCCTGCAGTGCCCAGCCCTGTTTCCTCCACAGCGGGGTGCTGTGGCACCAGAAAGGGGGCAGAGCCCGCAGTGCCCAGCCCCACCCTCCCCAGCAGGGAACACTGAGACACAAGAGGGGTGCTGCCCTGGGCCCCAGAGGTAGTGCAGGGCGCAGCCGGCTGGCTCAGTACTCACATATTTCCACCCCAAGGTGGTCTTGCAGTTCTCACAGAAAATGTCAGCCACAGAGTGGAGCCCGGTGAGCAAGAGGCGCTGTTCTGCTGGCCCACAGCCCACGTTAACCCTGGGCCAGAAGAGAGGAGCAGCATGGGACAGGGTCATGCCAGGCCCCTGCACCCCCCAAGAGCCCAGTCCTGCTTGGGGAAAGGGTAAGCAGTAGTGTCAGTGAGAGGGACAGCTGGGGCAGCAGCCTCAGCCATCATCTCTGTAGGGGGGCACAAAAAATAGGCAGGCACCATTGCAGTGGCAGCTGAACATACCATCACAATCCATATTGTGGCAGCTTGGTGCTGCCCCATGTGTCACAGCTGCCCCAGATGCGGAGCTTCCCTATGCCTCTGGGGGTACCTATGGGAGACCAGGAGTCAGCCTCCACGTTCTGTCTAGTGGAAGGGGAATCCTGTGAGTTACCCTCGGATTACAGCATGCAGGCCCAGACTCCTCAGCTTTGCCTGAAGCCCTTTTCCCACTGCTTCTGGATGACAGACATGCAGACAGGCTATTAACAGCAAGCTATAGTGCTAAGTCTGCCCCATCCAGAACCACATCTCCTTGCCCCGTGCCCCGAACCATCATGAGTTGGGTTTCAAAAAGATCAAGGGATTGGCTCATGCTCAGAAGAAATGCTTTTAAAAATTAATCATTGTCGGGGCCTTTTTAGCAGCTTGCTGATGCAGGTGGCCACCTTGTCCAGCTTTTATCCCCAACCACAAAGGCTAGAAACATACTTAGCAATAAATACATGTGAAGTGAGGTTCTTAGAATCCCCTGACTCCTGGAGCTGGGGCTTAAAGAAAAAATACTAAATAGCTGTGAGGCTGGCTATGCTGGAGTGGGACATAAGGGCTCTGAGGATGTACCATGGCTCATAGCCTCCCCCAAACCTTCTGGCAGGGTTGAGGCATCCAGCTATGGCAGGGCCTCCATCTGGGTCCCTGCAGGAAGAGACCGTCTCCCCAACCTTGGAACTGTGGCAGGATCAGGCTGAGCCCTGCCAGAGTCTTTGCCTGGCTAAGGCAGGAGCCTAGTCTGACCAACTAGTGGGAGAGGGGAATACCACAGCCTTTCCTCTTCCTCATGCACTACTCCTGGGCGATAGGCAAATGTGATTAAAGCCAGCCCTGACCCAACGGGCATGGTGCCTCAGAGAGCATGAGGGCTTAGTGTAGACAGCCAGAACAAACGAACCAGAGGGAGGGTACCTAATGGCAGGAGAAGGTGACTCCTACCACCTATTCTGGCTTGGTGCTGCCACACAGTTGATTTTAGTGGCCATGTGGGTCCTGCATCACTGCTAGAAGGTGGGTTATGATGCATAGTAACAAATGTAGCCCTATAAAGACAGCACAGGGCAGAGCCCGACTGGGAGGTGGCCATGATCTGGACTAGTGATGCACCACCTTTTGGCCCCATAAACCAGATGAATGGCTTGAGGCACTTTTGTGGGCTGGATTGTGCCTCAGGGGTCCAGTACTGCTTCCTCATACCCCTCGTGGGCCAGGATTGGTTTCTGGGGGTGTGGCACTACCCCCCCCAAAGCAAAGTTGTCCCCCAGGGGCATGGTGCTCCCCCTTCCCAGCCCTCTACACTGGAACTGCCCCCTTGGCTGCATAGCTCCCCCTGCCTGGCCCTGCATGCTGGGATTGGGCATCGGATCCAGCACACAGGGTTTGGGGCTTCCCATGGGTCTGGATATTTGGGAGCAAAGGAGTGGTGCCATCACTCTCCTGCTGCCAAATTTCTGGACCTGTGGAGAGTCCCACAGGCCAGATGTCATGGTCCTGAGGGCCATATCTGGCCTGCAAGCCACAGGTTAAACACCCCTGATCTGGACAACCAAGGCAAAGAGAGGTGTGGGCCACCCTTGCCAATGCAAGGCTTAGAGAGTCATGCTTATAACAGGTTCAAAAGGATACCAAGATCTAATTCCCATGACAAAACACCATGTCCTGCTGCCTCAAGTGCTGTCCCCACAAGCAGCATCCCATTAGGGGATGGTTCCCTCACCCAAAAAAAGACAAAGTTACTGTGGGAATCTCTCTTGAACCAGCCAAAGATGGAGCATTCCCTCCTGCCTGCAGCCAGTGGGCCAAACCCTCCCAACCCTGACCTCTATGAAAGTCCTTTGACAGACTTTGATGCAAGCAAACAGACATCCAGCACTGAGTGTGCCTGGTTCTACTACAGAGGAAGCACCCTGCCAACCATGGCCCTAACACCACCCAGTCCTACTGGCAAGGTCTGCCTGGTGCTCATCTCTCCCTCCTGTGGCATTTTTTACTCCTTTTGATCATGTAGTCTGACTTCATCCAGTCCACAAAACTCCCTACTTTGCTCCTGGCTGGACCGGATCAGGAATTGATTTCTATAAATGCCTAATGCCAGATGTAAAGAACCCGCCTTGCCCCTTGGCTGCCTGGAATCATGGCTAATTTCTCTCACTGCTAAGCCTTGGGCCTCACCTCTCACCTGCACATGTCCACTTAACCTGTGCTGCTACTAAGTCTAAGAGATGGTATGGCCTGTGCCTCTGAAGCCTACTGCACTCAAGCCCCTTGGCCCTCATGGTGGCTCTGCTCTGATCCTCTCCCATTCACTAATCCCTGTCCTGAATGGCAGAGGCCAAAGCCAGGCCATGTGTTTCAGCACTGGGGTCAATACAGAGGAAACAATCTCTGTAGATAACATGCACCCCCAGAGTGGAGTGGTTCCACCCATCAGCCCAAGGAGGGAGAAAGCAGCTACTTCCCTCGCAAAAACCAGGAATGGTCATAATCTCTATGAAAGTCCTTCAGAGGTGGCCCTTTATGACTTCATCCTCTAGTCAGGACCCGCTTGGAAGGGACCAGTCCAAAAACCATGAGGAAACAACCAGCCAGTGCATGTGTGATGTCCCCAGGGACCCCAACACAAGGTCTAGCTGCTCTCTGTTGGGGGACTGCAACCAAGGCATGAGGGTAGGAGTGCTCCAGGAGTCCCGATGAGATGCAGGGGGTGAGAGATAGACTGTGTGTGTGTACACACATACATCATCATGACAACAGTAGCCATGCTACCATGGTGCTCTTCACCAAGGTGACCCCATCCCAAAAAGAAAGGGGACTTCCTGCCTTAGAACTTACCCTCCAGGGGTGGCAATGACCAGAGGCATTTTGCCCAGGTATAGCGCCTGGCAGTGCCACATTCTGGTCCCCGCCTGGGGAATTCTGGGTGTAACCAGTAACTAGCTGTAAAGAAAATGAGCCTTGGTTTACTGCCTGCTCTCTTCTGCCTGCCTGAGACTCCATGCCCACACCCCTGCCTCCTGCCATGCTCCCAAAAGGAATGATGGATCACAGGACACTCACACAGAATTGAACAGGTAGGCACGCCCATGGCTCCCCTGGAAGGACTGTGGAAACAAAGACAGCAGTTATACCCCACCCTCACATAAGTGACCCTGCCTTCCCCTCCACCTGCAAGCACTGCTATGGGAAAGCTCACAGCATTTTGGGTAGTGGCATTGGCAAGGTATTGCTGTAGTGAAGGTCCCAATGCCACGAGTGCTGGAGTGTAGGAAGGCACAGATTGGGTAGGGCACTGCTATGAGGACGCTCACAGCTTTGAGATCTCACCTGGGAACTGCGGAGGAGAAGATCAAAGTGCCAAGGGTACTGGCAGGGTGCTGCTGCAAGGAAGTTCACAGTGTTGGGGTCCTGCCTGGCCACTGAATGGGCAGTGCTGGCAACTCACAAGATCCTGGCTGGGCACTGGTGTGGAAAAGGTCACAGCACTGAAGACACTGCTGTAGGGAAGCTCATAAACTTTGGGTCTTCAGCTGGGCACTCTCAGGGGAGCACTAGCAGGGCACGGCTGTGGGGAAACTGTCAGTTTTGCAGTCTTGGCTGGGCGCTCCTATGCAGAAGCTCCCAGCACTAAGGAAGGGCCCAGTGGCGGGTGGCAGGGGCCCCTGGCCAGCGGGAGCCGGGGGCATACCTTTGAGATGAGCTCGTCATGCTTGGCCAGGTGTGCCCGGCAATGGACACAGCTGTAGGTGCGGTGGCACCGAGGCAGGTAGCTGCGGAAGGTCTTGGCGGGCAGGCAGGCGGCAGGTGGCACCGGCTCACAGCTGGGCATGACGGGCTGAAGAGCCACGCCCTGGCGGGGCGGGGGGGTGGGCGCCGTGCAGCCCCCACACAGACGGTCGCAGGTGAAGCAGCGAAGCAGGTTGGCTAGAGCCGTGATTCAGGAAGAGAGGAGTTTGGGGGGGCTGCGCAGCCAGGGCCCCCCCAAGATGAGAACCAGGCCAAAAGGGGGGTCACCTGCAAAGAGTAGAAAGGCATGAGACGAGCAGAGGCTGCACC